ATGCCTTTACTCCTCCACTGCACAAGCACAAGTTATTAAGAAGAATAGCATTTGCCATTTTGATTTGCTACAGACACACGCATGAGCCCCTAGCAAAAAAATGAAGGCATTAAGAGCTACCTAGAAATACAAAAACTGAATAGCAGAGAACAGGAAAATGCTTCCTTACAGCACCAAGAGCAAAACTAGGCCCAGAACAAAGCCTTGCTGGAATTGTACAGTCATAAAGGACAAGATGGAGAATAGCTACTATCACAATAACTCTACATGTTAGATGAAAAGAAAAAAAACAAGTATCACAAATACTTTACATGCAATAATCTGTCCTTTTAATTTTAAAATGCTTCAGAGGGCATTGCCTAGATAATAACAACAACATCTGTATTTTGCATTGCAACACAGCAGAAAAGGTATACTACTCCTATAGTGCTCTTGAACATATATATATATATCTATATCTATTTTCTTTTCTGAAAAGAAATTTTAAGCCATTCTGTCCTCTATATCTCCACAGAAAGAAAAATATATTGTCAAGAAAAATTCAGAGGCTTAAAAAAATGTACTTAATCCATGCCAGATTAAAATATTGCTTGGTTAAAAAGTATTACTAAATAACTAATATTTTAACTTAGAAATAACAAAGAAGTACCATTATCTCATAGTCTACAAACAGGAATACAAGGTGTGCAAGGATGCAAGACATCACCCAACCACTTGAGGCATCTCTCAACCCAAGTGCCATCTCTGATGGACAGTGCCAACATCTTGGACTAGACCCTCCAAAGGCTTGTCTCACAGTGCTCAGAACTGTGGCACAAGAGCCAAAGACAGCAGGTGATCACAACATCCAGAGTCAAAGGGAAAACTCACACCCAAGAATGCCAGAAGGGGCATTTCCCTAAACTGAAATAGCCAGAGTAGGGCAAGTAGTCATCCAGCTCAAAATTTATTCGTACACTAATGTAACTACAGAACACCAAGCATCAGGCTTTGACTTTAATTTTCATCAGAAAAATCAAAGTGACAGTACCCTCCACACACAAGTCAACATAAATGTTCTAAGAACAAAGGTATCAGATTTTTTAAAAAACCAGCACCTCACAATTTGCTCTGCAAGGCCATGGTTTTATATATAAAGCTTGCGTGCAGGTGAATTTAGTGCAAAATATTGAATTTAGGCCCCACAGTTTAAACAAACTAACCAGCAAAAAACCTACCAAGGTGTTTCAGAAATCCAAGTAAGTAGCAGTCTGTAGGTTGTGTCTTATCCTACTGCAAGACTCTCATAAAAAAAGCTCATTTTCTATGTTGTTGCATTTTGCTTGATATTCATTACCAGTATATTATTCCAATGACATGACTTGCTTTCTAGCTACCAAGTCCTCCTATCTTAAAAAAGTGACCTAAAAGTAACTATTAATACTGAATATTCTTTTACTATTTCTAGCTTACCTGAACTCCTACTATCTGTAAATTACCTGTTACACTGGATTGTCATGAACAGTCTTCCAATGGTATTAAGTCTTCATCAAGCAACATTAGAGTAAGATTATGTGAAACTTTCCACATGAAGAGCTTCTCAAAGCCTTTAAAATGAGACTGTTTACAAGCACTAGCTGAAAGCTATTAAAGACACCACTAAGTCATACCATTTTAAATACAAGCTATAGATCCTCAACTGTGTTACATGGTTGCACAACTATTAAAACAAACCAAAAGATTGATTGTTTTTTAATACCAAACATTAGTTTAAAATTAACTGACATTGCATCACCTTCATTTTAATGTCCAAAGAAACAGACAGTGAGGCAGGATAAGACACTTGGAGCAGAATTAGCAGGCTCAAGTGTAGTGCTCAGCCTACATAGCCAGGTTAAGCCACACTTTTCACCTTATTCTTAACCTTTTTTCACCTACATTAAGATACAATGATGGCACATGCTATCAGGAGGTCCAGAGACCTTCATTCATGCACTGTCTTGTCAGTATCAGGACAAGGACTAGTGAATTGCACTTTAAAAAGTTAAACACAACCATGAATATCAGCACCAATATAGCCAAGTTTCCTCTACCTCAGGATAAGGCTGAGCTCATCTTGCAGTGTCTTTCACAACAGGAATATTGATACTATTCTACCTGCTTGCCTCGTTTGGTTTTATTCCCCTTTCTTCCCTCTTCAGGAAGAATGGAGTTTGCCATCCCAACACCTAGACGCCCTCTGAACAAGTGTGATTGAACCTGGTGGAGTTCACTAGTCACCAGGAAGGGCACAGTGATTATGTGCAGAGCTAGTACGTGTCAGCAGAAGAAGTACACACACTGTACCTTAGGAGACCACACAACAAGGAGCCACCTTTTTATTGTCACTCAGTTTTTCTCCCCCAAATTCCCTCCTTCCCCATACCCTGAAGCCCAAATCAATAAAATTAACTCCAGTTCTGAAAGGTAGCCTCATACCATCAAACTTTACTTAACATTGACTATAACAAAGAACCCTTTGAAGTACCTACACTAAACCACTATCTCAAATTGCTCAACGTTCCCAGTGACGTATTCAGAGACAATTTTTATTTATTTTGGATCAGTGTACACCCAAGCATAATGGCTGTTTAAAACATCCAAGATGTATTTACACTAACTGTCCAAAATAAACACTATCAGCACAACTAGAGGCTTGGTTTCCTTATCCGTGTTTAAAGACTCTCCTAGGACGTTTTGCAAAGATTCATCCCCAGCTGAATTTAACTTCTGAAGAAAGCTATGAAATGGGGTTTTATCTTCATTTGACTGGGTACACACAGACCATAATGGATTCTGCAAGAACAGTATGGTCAGGTTAAGGTCCACCTTGTCCTTGACTGCTTCTGGCCAAACTGCAGTCAGTAAATTCTTCTGGAAAGCATGCAACAGAATTCCTTAAATAAACTCATCTTGAAGTAACGACTCCTTCTGCAACCAGCCCACCACCACACTCAACAGCCAGCAATGGACTTAGAATCATAGAATCCTTTAGGTTGGAAGACACCTCCAAGATCATCAAGTCCAACCCTTGAGCCATTAGGGCTCTAAAGTCCTCTGCTAAAACAGACCAGAATCTGTCAGGGTTGGAAGGGACCACAAGGATCCCCCAGTTCCAACCCCTCTGCCATGAGCAGGGACACCTCCCACTAGATCAGGCTGCCCAGAGCCTCCTCCAGCCTGGCCTTAAAGCCCCCCAGGGATGGGGCCTCAACCCCCTCCCTGGGCAACCCATCCCAGGGTCTCACCACTCTCCTGGGGAAGAACTTCTTCCTCACATCCAGCCTGAATCTGCCCACTGCCAGCTTTGCCCCATTCCCCCTAGTCCTGTTGTTACTCGACAGCCTAAAAAGTCCCTCCCCAGCTTTCTTGTAGCCCCCCTAAGATACTGGAAGGACTTAGCTACCAAGGTTCATCAGCTTCCTTCCTTTTAGAGCTTTATATGTTTATGCTGTATATAAAGCATTGTCTCACAAGGGCTTCTAAAATTTAAATAAGCATCAAATGAAAAAACCTTTCCTGTGCTACACATTGTATTTTATTGCTTTCCACAATACTGTAACCATGAAGCATAAATGAAACTGCTGAAGTCTGCACTCTATGAATTTTCAGTTCTCTGTCACATTTTCCCCCCACAGCTCTCACATTTTCTTCTCCAACCTGACAAATACTGTTCTAACAAACACTTCTGCATGACAACTATTTCACTGTAATACCTGCTCTGCTACAACCTCTCATCAACCACCAAAGAACTCGTTACTATTTCTCCTCCCTGTCAATACTGGGGGACGAATCTATTAAATTGCTTATGAAAACTACACTCAAACTTAGAAAAACAAATTGTATTTCCAGACTGAAAGATCACACTTACAGATAAATAAACTTCAGAAAACCATATGAAGATGAGAAAAAGTTTAGCGGCAAATATAAAAGTAAGATCAAAAGACAACTACAGGTCCCATCCATGTGTCTGTTGAACTACAGCTTAGATCAATATTTATTGGGTTTTCTTGTATTATAACACTAATAAAATTATCCTGCAAATAATGAGCTATGTGTATGTTCCACTATTCAGCATCTTCTTGTCCCCTGTAGTACAACTGAACAAGTCAAAATTCACTCAAATTTCTGATCCTAGGTTTAAGTTAACTATGTGAGAATTCCAAATTACATAAATTCTTCTTTTTAAAGTTGATTATGATAAACCAGAGCAAGTCAGTAGGTGACATCTTCACCAAGGTGCATCTAATGTGATTGCCTGCCCAATTTCAGAAGCCATGGCTTAATCAGCCTATTATATGAAAACTTCTAGTGAGACATAATAATATCTAGTCTTATCTAAGAATGACTTGAACACAATTACAGTGACGCTCAGCTCTGTGGGGTTTGTGAATCCCCTCTCTAAAGTATGAAGATATCTTACAAGACTTCAGAACCTGAACACAGTCCTTATAAGAAGTTTGACACAAATACGTTTCATAGGTTTGAAGCTTTTTACACACACATAAAGGTCTTGATTAAAAAAAAGTTGAGAAAACTGCTTTCACATCCAAATAATTAAATGAGGCAGGTTATACGCTGTGTCTGCACACAAATAATACTGTCTTCAAAATACTACCTGTTAAAAAAGAAACCAAAAAAAACTCCACCCACAAATGGACTGAGCTCAGAACAAATTTTAGAACAGGAAGATTATTATTCTGTTCTATTCAAGGCAGACTAACAGACTACACTGACTCTAAAGGACTGTATCTCACATGGCAGACATAAGGATTAGAGTGCCAAGGATCGACAACCAACGTGTAAAATGCAGAATGCTTCCTGGAGTTTTTAGTTAAATAGTGTAGCCTTTACAACTAACAACTAGCTGCCCCACGGTTTTATGATAACATTTAGCTCATCTCTGAAAGCATGAAGGCTACATGCAGATTAGTAAAAATTAAGAGCATCACAGAACTATCTGGCCAGTGGAGTAAACGTACCTGCAGTTACAGGTTTAGCACTGCTGCCTTTACATTCTCCATCCTCCACATTTTTGCTCGTGCTCTTTTCTTTTAAGAGAGGAACAGTATTGTCAAAAGATATGCACTTGCTGGATGCAACGTTCTCCCCGCTGTCTGGCTGATTAATTCTGATGTTAGCTTCAAGTAGAGGAGTAAAGTCCTCAGACTGAGCAGCTTCTCCAGGTTCCAGCTGAGTGGAGCTTTTAGCCTGCGCCACATTCTTTGAAGACACAGGAAGAGATTCTTCATCGCTGTCAAATCCAAATGGATCCTCTGTTACCTCATCTTCAACTTTGGGTTTTTTAGGAACTTCAGAAATATCTGCTTTGACACTGGGCCTCTTCTGTCCTAGTTTGGCCATGAAGGTGGTTTCTCCCCATTTCGTGCTCAGGGTGGTCCGTTTGTTGGAAAATACCTCGTCGAATTTGGAGCTGCCGTTTCCCCCTTTCCGGCTGTAGGTCTTTCCAAATCGGGATGTCATTTTGGCTCCTGTTTCATATTCTCTGTTATAAAAGAAAGAAGAAACATAAATTAATTGACTTTTTAGTCCAAAGGACCGCGCTTCCATCCTGTAATGGGCCTACAAGCACCAAGCAAGTGCCTTTCACAAAAGCAGCAGATACCTCATCTGCTTCTTTCGACACACTAAGTCATTTACATGTGAATGTCCTCATGTTAAAAGTTTCTGCAGGAAGTAAATGTATCTGCCAACTTAACTCAAAATTCAGCTACTTGCATTTCTAAAACAACAGCACAATATTTCCTTAAGAAAAATCTGCTACAAATATATTATTTTTGGTACTGCTCTGCTCTAATTTTATATTTTCAAGTATAGATGGCACTGCTTTCATGAAACATCATCAGAAACCCAAACAGTATTTTCACCACATCTGAGCATGCAGCTTTCTGCTAAAGTCCAATAACACAGCAGGGCTTTAAAAAGACGCTCTGTAGTCAAATTAAAAAAAAAATTGACAAAATATTCCAAGTTGCTATAGATATTTTAAATACTGATTCATCACAAATTCTGATGACAATTTCACCCCACATTGCTCTCACACACTCAGGCTTCCTTAGCAAGCATACTGCTTGATAACACAACGTGGTTTATGCCATCTGCACAGACCTGGTCAAGACTGGTACATGATCAATCCAATTTGCTTGTGAGGGATTGCCAAGGGACAGGAACAAAGAGACAGACACTTCTCCATCCTTTTCTAAGAACACCTCATGCAGACCAGCCTAAACAATGACTGTTTCCTGGCTGTTACAACTGTTGCCCAACTCAGTCTGCCCTCGTAGAAGAATAAAGTTTAAATATGAACAGATTAAACAGGAACACATTTAAACAGCTCCCTGTGTGTGCTCTATTCCTACTTTTGTTAACTCAAGAAGGATGGCAATTTATTTTTAAACTACTGGACAAATGACAACATAAAAATGAAACCATCGTATCTGTTTTGTAAACCAGCATTTCTCCTTTTTTTTTTTTGTTGGCCCAAACATTAATAGGAAATTGGAATTCTTCATAGTTAGTCTGAATCTACTCAAGTCCACCTTTCTCTCCAAAATTATTCTCCATACTGGAGAAAAGTCTGTTAAAAAAAAAAAGGGCATTTATTTGAGCTACAGAATAAGGAAATTCAACTTCCAAAGTGTCAACAACCTTCATATATAGTAAAGTACATAGGCAACAGCACTTTAAGTCATTGATAATGAACTTATCACATGATCTATTTGTTCCAGACAACTCTTTTTATTATCATCCCCCTGAATATGTGGTATGCTGTCTCTCATCCATATTTTAGTCTCCATCTCAACACTCACAGCTTCTCAACCCGAAATGCTAAGCTAGCTTCTGCCAAAATGGCCAGAGTGGTTTCCAGCAATGTCACTCTCTCACTTCATTCTAGCAGGCCTGTCTCACTAGCAGTCTTCCTTTATCAGCCCAGGCCAACCTTCACTTATCACATGAGCTGAGCAATTCGTTGAGTGATCTATGTTTGAGCACATTTTAAGAGAATTCAGGGTATCAAATTTGAAGTTCAGAAGTTTACCAGACAGCTGCTCTTGCAATGCAGAAGAGATAAGAGAACAATCACTTGGGGAATGGTTCTCCCCAGCAGTTTAGCAAATGAATGATAAAGACACGTGCTTATCCACTGACCAGAACTCTGCTGTGAAACACCACTCAGCAGACTGCTTCTGGTTGCACCTAGTAGGTGCTACTCTTCAACCCCACCTCTTTTTCCCCCTACAGCATCATCAGCCTGCTCTGTGCTGCTCCAAACACACCGTTGCCAAACTTTTTC